ACATACATACATACATACATACATACATACATACATACATACATACATACATACATACATACATACATACATACATACATACATACATACATACATACATACATCATCTTTAACCGCTTCTTCCTTTTTGGGTTGTGGGGGTCGCCGGTGCCCATGCCCAGCAATCACTGTGTGAGGGGCATGGGACACCCTGGACAGGTCACAAGTCCATCACAGGGACACACAGAGACAAACAACCATTCACTCTCTCACTCACACCTAGGGACAATTTAGAGTTACCAATCAGTCTAACATGCATGTTTTTGGTCTGTGGGAGGAAACTGGAGTACCCGGAGAAAAGCCACACATGGACGGAGAGAACATGCAAACTCCACTCAGAAAGGCCTTGGACCAAGCTTTGAACCAGGGTCACCTGCTCGCTGAGAGGCAGCAGCTCTACCAACTGCACCACCGTGCTGCCCAAGTGGAAAATCAATGATGCATTTTGCACCTAATGGCATGCGATGGTCGAGGCCACCTCCTCTGTATTCTGTGTCCATTTTCATTCCTTTATAAAGCAATTGATCACCAAGGTGGACAGCCATGTGTTGACCTGAGGAACCTTTCTGTTGTGTTGTGTTTGTTTACTTCCTCTAGGAGAAAGGTCTCAGCACTGCATTGACATACATACACTGTACTTCTCAACTTGTTTGGGAGTTTTAATTCTCAGAGAGAGAGACAGTTTCTGTAAGAAACTGTCATTATGGTTTGGATGTTCTGTTTGGAGAAAACAGACACAGACTTATGATGAGAGTCAGCTTGTGTTCCAGTGTGTGATGACTGAGATCTGTTGCTTAGAGAGGCACAGAAATGTTTGTGCACCACACATTTTTGATTCCAAGGTTGTTTTGTTGCTATCAGAAAAGAGATTTACAAAGCAAATTGCAAAATAAACAAGTAAACTATCACAATACAAACAAGTAATGGAATTATCTTTCTTTCTTTATCATTTAAAAGTAATTAATGACTGATTGTATTTGTGGATTCAACGTTTTTTTTTTTTTTAACATTTTGCTGTTTTTGTATTATTTTTACCTTGCATCAATGTATGTTGAATCCATCAGTGCACTATGTAATACAGTGGTTTGTGGCTTGTACCCTAAGTCAACTTTCTCAATAGGAGAATGAAATATGCCTTGTACATAAATGTTTTTTTGCTTAACATATTGGTTGCCAGTATAATTTAATACTGAGACATTTTATTTTCTGAATGTGTGCAAATCTATAAGGAAGCAGCTTGTTTTCTTTGAGGTGACCTTTTTTTTTATCCTGATTAACTGAAGTGATGTGTTCAACAAAATTTTTACATCTTGAGTTTATTTTTGACCAGATATCCTTCACAAACCTGAACCTGTGCCTTGGACTTGTTTTCTTGTAATTCATTGGTCTGGATTAGAAAGCTGGAACTGAACTAAAACAAGAACAAGTCATTCGTTTAGGTAGGTGAATGAAAAACCAAACGCAGAGCTACTGACTGACAACTCCAGCTTTTGTTGTTATTGAAATCAGGACAATGATGCATTTGTTTTCTATCAAAAACACAAAAAAACGGACTCCAAAAGTTGAACAAGTGAATCCTTCAACGTCCGATCTAAAACTCTTTGTTTCCTCAGTTCCCAAACACTTACAGTTCAGAGAGCTTCATCTCTTTGTGCAGAACAAAGAGATGAAGCCATTAGAGTTACTGTACCAATTAGCCTAACATGCAAATCCCATCACCAAAAAAAAATAAAAATAAAAATTTAAACGGGACAAAGTGTTTGTATGTCTCAACTTTAGAGTCTTATTTATGACACTACTTTCGCTGTTGGCACATGCTCATGCCAATTTTGTTATATGGCTAAAAGTAGATACTTTTGTAGATATGACATCATAGGAAGTCAAGATGCTGTTCACAAAAAAACCCATCATTTATTATTTACAAACCGGATTCCAAAAAAGTTGGTTCACTAAACAAATTGTGAATAAAAACTGAATGCAATGATGTGGAGGTGCCAACATCTAATATTTTATTCAGAATAGAACACAAATCACAGATCAAAAGTTTAAACTGAGAGAATGTATCATTTTAAGGGAAAAATATCCATCCATCCATCCATCCATCCATTTTCTTTACCCGCTTATTCCATTTTGGGTCACGGGGGTCGCTGGTGCCCATGTCCAGCAATCACTGTGCGAGGGGCGGGGTACACCCTGGACGGGTCGCAAGTCCATCACAGGGCCACATAGAGACAAACAAGACAAACAACCATTCACTCTCTCACTCACACCTAGGGACAATTTAGAGTTACCAATCAGCCTAACATGCATGTTTTTGGACTGTGGGAGGAAACCGGAGTACCCGGAGAAAACCCACGCATGCACGGAGAGAACATGCAAACTCCACCCAGAAAGGCCCCTGGACCGGGGTTTGAACCAAGGACCTTCTCGCTGAGAGGCAGCAGCTCTACCAGTTGCGCCACCGTGCTGCCCCTGAACAAAACCAATATATGCAAAATACCTATAACTACAAACGCAGCATTGACATGCTCCATTTTTATTGTCAAGAGAAAACATCACTATAATTCCATTCAAGCCTACTTTGTTTCTACTTAAAGATGTGCAGACATGATAAAAAAAGACAACATATCAAACCATTGACTATAATGGTTTCAACAGTCTTGAGTGTGAAATACCATTTAATAAAAAAAGAGACATTGTCAAAGTTTATGATAAAGCACTAACCCTCTATATAGTTTTTTTAAATCTCAGCTGTTTAGTTGAAATGCAATGTGAAGTAAAACATTTTCTACTTGAATTTAGCTAGACTTGGTGAGACATTTTTACTTGATTTTCAATGTTGAGATTGTTTTAATAGCTTTTGACTACACATAACAATTCCAAAGAAACCCACTTCAAAAAACTCATGAACTTATTTTTAATATCTATGGTTGGCAATCCGTTCTTTATACTTGTTATTCTTTGAAATATTGAATATCATCTGCTGCCTTTTAATGTAGCAATTTAGACTAAAATATTCTTATCACAGCTAAAGTTGAGACTTTGATAGCTGAAACAATATTTACGTTGAATATTGGTGCTTTGGTGCATTTATGAATTCAAGCAGAGTCTAAACTGTTAGAAAACCCAACTATGCTTCAAAAAGCATTGGCAGCAAACGAGAGCAATCCTGTGAGTGACAGATGTGTGATCTTACATTGTAGAGTACGGTGGTCCATCCCTCCATGGTGATGCACTGGAAGACAGTGAGAACAGCAAACAGGATGTTGTCGAACTGGGTGATGCCGTCGTTCGGTCCAATCCATCTATCGCTGCAATCGTATTTCGCTGGACACTGACGCACGCCACACGGGAACTCGAACTCAATCGAGTCCACCGTCTCATTTTCTGAACAGAAACGTACAGAATTTTAGATTTACTTCTCCAGCTATTATTTTACACCATCTATGAAATATAAAACTGGTTGATAACTTTCCCCCAGATGCTTAAAAAAATGTATCTTATCCTCTAATTAATAGCCACAGGAAGTGCATTTTAAAGCAGGCTGGGAATCCACAGAGCTGTGATGTCAGAACATCCTTTGACAGGAAATACTTCATTTGATTTGTATTTTCTAAATGTCCTTTCAGATCAGGTGAGGTGTGTGTGTGTGTGTGTGTGGGGGGGGGGGGGGGAGCTTGGGGGTTAATGACAGCTATGAATGTAGTGCACTGTAGTGCATTGAGTTGTTCCTTTTATTTATTTAGGTTGATTTGATCAAACCTCCAGGTGCAGCCTTACCCACTTGTGCATAGATTTCTTGTTATACTGTAACCTTACAGCAGAGCAGCTACTTATACAGAGCTGCATACATGTGTATAAAACAGACAAACACATATAATAAACAACATAATAAATAGTTACCGAATGAGCATGAGCCTGACTCACTTATGGCTCAGTTTGGTGTGAAACAAATAGTTCAGACTTTTTATTATGGTGAAATGTAACAACTTTTTTAGTTTTTCAAGTTAGGGATGCCACAAGAGTCTTGGCTTTGATAAAGAATATGTGTCTGAGCCAGACACATCGGGGGGATGGACTGGCCAGGACTCAAACTGCAGACATGTGCAACTGGGAGGTCAAAGACCAGACTGAGGAGGTGTGAGCTGGGGGTTACCAGCTGTGAGAAGCATGGGAAGGCTGTTGTATAATCATGCAGGTTTAAGGTTACTGTATGCATACTGCTCTTTTTTTATTAATTTTTTTATTAATAACTCAATCTACTTTTAGTGTTCTGCACAGAAAATAAGATAATGTCATGCACAGATGTATAAAATTACCATCACTCTTACTTGTACTCAGATATTGCCTAATAATATACTGTACCTCGTATTCCTGGCTGTGGCGTGCATGTTTTGTGCAGTTTTCCGCTGTAAAACTCCAGACCGATGATGGCAAACATAAGGATGGCAAAGAAGAGCAGCAGACCGATCTGCAGTAAAGGCACCATGGCCTTCATTATAGACTTCAGGACAATCTGCAGACCTGCATGTAAAGCACACGTCGACCTGCTGACTTTATGCAAAATCACATCCTGTTATAAAAATTTAACAAACAGCAGAATTTTATTTTAAAGCCAATGGGAGACAGCATTAAAAAAACTCAAACAATTATTAATATTTACAATCATTATTTCAAAGAATGAAGAACTTGTAATGTAAATATAATTATCTAGCTCTTTTTAATATTACAAAGTATTTATGGCTTGTCAGTGACCAAACTAAAAAGAAAGTCGAGATTCTGTACAACAGTTTTTCCAATCAAAAGGCATTAAGATACATTACAAATTAATGCTTCTTATACAGTAGTCCCTCGCTACTTCACGGTTCATTTATCGTGAACTCGCTCTATCACGGTTTTTTAAAATAAGATTGGACATGACACACAATTGGCTGATTGATGGATGAGCCGCACGATAGGCATGGAATTTTTATCTTAAATAAATTATTTTTAATTATTTAGCACCTGCTGCACATTTGTGCAGCCCATACTGCAAGATAAACTTCCTTCTGCAGCTGATCAGCTGATATCGATGCAGAGCAGAAAAGTAGGCGTGGCCAATAGCACTTGCAAAGAGAAGAGGAGGCAGGGAGCTGAAATCATGACATTCTGTGCTCTTTTAGAGTGTTTAGAGTTTAAAAACATTGTTTAGAATATTACAAGAGTGTTGGAAGGGTTTAAAACACCTT